AAAGATCAACGAAAAACAAATCAAAGAAAAAAAATCCATGCGCCTCATGTATCTATTACGTAATAAAACCTTTTCAAACTGTTATTTTAAACTAACCTTGAAAAAAATGGAAGAGGAGGCGTTTAAGTTAGCGTTACATAATTTTAGAGAGGGATTCTTGTCAAGTGTTACTTATTGTTACATAGGGCAGGTCAAAAATCCGGATGTTTTGCGTAACGTAATGCGGTTGTGGTCAATGCACGCCCATTATAGTGCAGTCCTAAGTATGCGCCTTTAGAATTGATAAACGATCCATAAAATGTTGAAAAACGTTTCTTAAAAAACATCCAAATGATCTATTAAACACCAGAGAAAATCCATTAAGAAGTGTGGATGATCCATAAAATATATTACTATGGTCGGTATTTTATGCAAAATTTAGCAACACAATTGTAAAAATGTACCCTTAATTTCTAAAGAATGAGCATTGAAATTGTATGAATTACCCAAAATTCGTTGAATTATGACCTTAATTTTATATAAAATATGGATCATATAGATACTTTGACTATATGTTTAGTATGACTTCTGCGTGAAGTCAACGATTTACATAGTTGAAGATGCTAATTTCAAATAACAGACTAAAGTGGCAATTTTTATACGATAGATGCGGAGATGCAAGTATAAAATTGATAGTTTCGTTGGAGTACTGCAGTGTGAAAATTGCATAGGGGAAACAGCCCTATTGTTGCGATACGTTAGCAGCGTTAGAAGCCTATTGTTGAGTATGGAGGTCTCCATACACAACAATAGGCTTCTAACGCTGCTAACGTACCGCAACAATTGGATGTAATATTAAAAATTATTTTTTGCTGTGTAGGGGAAATGGATGTAATGTCGGCCTAAATGCCCCTAATTTGGGCCCATCCATAAGTTTAGCAAATGAATAAATTTTCAATAGCGACCAAAAATATCTATAAGTACCGTGACAATGATGCGTTCATCTAGATAAAATTGATAAATAGCAAATTTTTAGCGATGGGCCCAATCTTAGATCCACAGGCCAATATTAGAGCCATTTCCCCTATGTAAACAATGAATTACTTGGAAAAAAAGACAACCGATTTCCAATGATGTATTTTAATTTAATATTTATTAAGAATAATTTTTGAAAACAACATCAATCAAGTGGCCACTTTTATTAGACACAGTAAAATGTGCCCTTTTTGCTGCGTTTTCCATCACTTTTCAAATAGCGATTATTTCGGCACGAATATTTGCCTTGAGTTCGTCAATGGTAAGAGGCTTGCTGGCGTAAACTTTGCTTTTCAAATGGAGATCTGGGTGGCCAATGAATATCGCCTTTTTTTGATACCAGACGTCCAGGGAATTTTTGTTGCAAAAACTGAATTCCGGAGTAATTTGAGATTTGGCCGTAATTACATTTGTAAACAAACACGGCAATCGCTGATTTATCGCGAATAAACACGCAATCTTGAAAATTAATAACATAATCACCTAGAGAAATGATTTCTCTATCATTTGGAACAGTTTGTTTACGAGAATGAGCGAGAAACTCCGGAATTGTTTGATTTGCAGTATGGTATGGCGCACCGTTAAGTGTCCAGTCTTTTTTTTCCAGTGACGTCAAAATGCTGAGCGCGGTGGCGATACGACACATTTGGGTTTTAGCAAAGACAACAAATCAAGAAGACTGGCAACACTTCCATTTTCTCATACGAACGCTATGAAACAGGTACAATCGCGTCAATTGCTGCTCAAAGGTAAATGCTTCGAACGAATTTGATAGCAAAGATTACATCCTCAGAAGAAGGGTTTGTGTATTTGCTCATTTTTCTATGCGTTGCTTCCACCTTCACTTAAGTGCAGCGCTACTGTATCTTTCGCTTCGATTCTGGCAAAGTTGCCAGTCTTCTTGATTTGTTGTCTTCGGTTTTAGGCAACACTCTCTCTTACCGCTTTAACCAGTTCATTGGAACGTCTTGGTCGTTAATGAACGACTTGTTGACCACTATATTTTCAAAGATATGCACGTTGAGTGAACACAACTGAGCGACTATTTTCAATGTAAATCCACTTTTTCAGCGCGTTGTTTCGGTGTGACGCGATTCATGGTTAAAATTGTACTTAATGGACATTTCCAAAACTTGTATACTCAAGTCAATTGATTGAAAAATGTCAAAGTTATTCAATGTTTACATAGATTATGGCGCACTCTGTATGTCACCAGTTTGCAGTATAGTTACTATATTCATAGTCTGGCGGATAAAATCTCGGGAACCAATTGAGCTATCAAATAGCGGAACCAATCGAGCAAATCACGACCAACAACAAAAAAGAGTACATCAGCTGTTGCGAACAAAACATCGGAAACCCTTTTCTCGTGACTCAAGGCTCGCCTACGCAAACTAACACCATCTTTGGGTTGGGGGAGAGTTTCTCCTTTCCGATGATGACGGTAATTTGCGTTAGATTGGCGAGGAAAAAATAAATAACGTTTTGTTTATAAAAGTTGATAGTACCTTTTCAATTGTTGGTTTAAAATATATTGAATTGGTTCCGCTTTTTGATAGATCGAAAATCTATCCGCCCGATATAGCGCTATGAATATAGCGACTATAGTTTGCAGCAGTGTGTGGGAGGAAATCGCATGAACTTCCCTAATAAACGAATTCTCATACATGGATGGTATTAGAAATGGTTCAACTATATCCCAAAAGATTGGGATGATAACCTGAATAGATTGTCAAGCACATTTTATTTTCTATGCGGGATCGCATCTCAAGTAACATTTCTAGTTTTATGAGGGTTCTGTAGTCCATGATGAAATGTAGAATGCTTTAAAACCTCGATAAAACATGCAATGTTGGTAGGGATGTTTCATAAATAGCTTAACCAACAGACTGGATTGTTTGTAAAAAAAGTCGGACAACATTGATTCGGTTGTCGAAATTGTTGAACAGAGAGATAATACAATCATGGGAAGACCTCATCAAAGATGCAAATTCGTAATCCGAAAATCACTATCAAAGATGCAAACGACAAAAGTTCACGAGTTTGGCCTTTAGAACCACTATGCAATGCTTCAACTCGATCTGCATTGATAGCATGTGAACCTTTTCCTCGCCCAAAATTATATTTGATTAAAGGGCTGTTCACAAATGTTGTCACAAATGACATCAAGATGCCTATCCGAAGTCGATTTGGTTCTAGCTAGTTTTCAATCCAACAAGTAGGCTTACTCAGATCGGGCTTTTCCGCTGCCGCTGTCGTTCCGCTTCCGCTGTCATTGCGCTTGGGCCTTAACTCTAAGTTTGTGCTATGTAGTACTGTCAGTACTTTATCATAGACTAACACTAAGACCACAGGCTTCCGAAGAAACATGCTCAATCTTCTGGCTCATGAACTACCAGGCCTTCGGTCCCAAGCTAATTGAAGCATCCCTCGAAACTTAGGAAAATGCACGTACCCCCCATTAAACTCTGTCAAATTTATAAGGCGAATCAAAACAAACACAAACTTTGACAGATTTTAATACAAAAATGGGGTGCGCTCATAGATGTACTTGAGATCAATGGGCGCGTCAAGTAATGAGCCAATTTAAAATCGTTAGTTTCGTATTTATTATTGACTTTACCGTATTTGCTATAATTTTAATAAGTAAGAATGATCAGATCTCACCATAAGTGAATGGATTCTGGTTTATATTTTACTCTTGGTGCAATGCTGTTAGTAGTTGCGAGATCAAAACTGACAGCATACGATAATGCATGACAGAATATCAGCATTGGTTTAGTTCTATTATTTATGATTATTGCACTTCACAGCAAAAACTTTCAAAATTTGCATTTGACACTTTAATGTATTTTCTGCCCTTAGTTGAAACAAACAGCAAAAAACATTTACTTTAAATTGATTTACTTTTTTTATGAACAACGATATAAATTTACATGATAGTGTAAATTTCAACTTTAAATGAATTAAAGTTCAGATAATTAAACGTGTAATTGTATATATTTAAAAAAAACAGCGCCAGTTGATAGTTGAAATTGATGGGTGAAATTTTCGCATAAATCAATTGATGTAGTCTTTTCTTTCATATTTTTGCTTTAAGTAGTATTCAAAACATTCTTGAACATCAGAAATGGTATAAAATTTGTAAGAATTGTCCCACATAAGCCAATGATGCCTCTTACCCACAAGTTTCGTTTACAGCAGTGTGTGTTATTTGAATTTTTAACAATATTTTCATTGAAAATAAAATTATTAAAACATTAAATTGATATCAACTGAAAACCGAATGCTTGTTGATGTATTTTTCTTACGTCAGATGATGTGTGCTTGTTGTGTTCCAGTTATGGCTATACGTTCGTATTATAGTGTGTTCCAATTATGGCCTATGTAATTCCCATAGTACATAATTGGAACACGCCATAATAGGAAGGAACCGTGTCACTATTCAAGAGAGGTTCAATGCTATAAATGAAGTATTCAATTATTTGGGAAGTTTTGTTTATACCTGGCCCTATAGTTGTCAGGTCCCTTTTAAACGCCACCAGTTACATAACATTAATGTTAGTTGAAAATATGTTTAACTAATTGTAATCTACCCCAGTTTATTTGGTATCCATAAGTTTTCCTCCATCATTAGATAGTTGTATATCATTTGGACATTCATTATGTGCTCAACTTGATAACGCATGGTAGATCAATAACTATTTAATAACTTTTAATTTGCACGATTAACACATTTCCAAAAAAGCAAGAAATTTTATCGAAAGGTCTCTCTAGCTTATGTGGTTCACACATAATTTAGAAACGGACAACAAAATTGCTTGTTTCATTAACATTCGGTTTATACGTTCTGTTTAAATTATTCGCCATATTGAAATCCCATAATCTAACAATGTCGCAATTGTTTTCTTTATCTGTTCAACTTCATGAGTTTCTTTAACTATTTTCTTTCACTGGTTTCTTTCTCTACCTTCTTCTAATTTCAGTCCCTAATCGAATATATATAAATAACGAATAATTTAATAAAATTACACTAAAACCTAAACTCGGTCTGCCTGCCCGTTGGCTCCGTGCCAAAATTGTTTCCGTTCACGGAACAATGGCTCCCTTCAAGCTCAAATTCCGCATGGGCAGTGGTTCGTCCCGTAGCGCCTCGCAGGAGCAGGATGTCATAGTAGACAGTCAGGCTAACCAAATCGTTTCAAACTATCTAAACAGTAACAGTTTGGGTGCTGGCTACGGCAGTAGTACTACCCTTGACTCCGAACAAAATAACGATAGCTTAGTTTCGATGAACAACGACCAGCGGGCCCTCATCCGGGACCGAGACACATCCGATGATAGACTAGGTAAATCCATCGTGGGATCTTGATTTTTGCTGTATGATACACTTCGACAGAACAATTATACATCCACTCATATTTGTAACTATCACAAGGATCTGTAAAAAATCATTTTCATTCTAGGTTATATAAATCCATCATTATCCCACACTGAAACCAATACGATACCTTTAAGCCCACCGCCGTCTTACGAACATGTACTAGAGGAAGTAAGCTGCCACACCATTTGCTCCAATTATACATTTTAACCTTAAACATTCCCCCCACCCCGATAGAATCGCCTCGCAGCTCTAGATAAGGAGAATAACAAAACATCGACGTTGAATCTTTCCTCATCCGGCTACGAAATGCTAAGAAACAGTCAACAATCACTGAATGCTGCTGGTCACGAGCAACAATATTGTGATCAGCAAGAGACAACACCAAGTGCAACGAGGAAGCAAGAGTCCGTCGACTCGTCAATGTATTCTTGCAGTTCAGCCACATCCCCATCGCAGGAGAACCTTCTCGGGTGTACCGGTTCGTGTGATCCACTGTTCAATATGACCGCCCAGGAACCGATGGGAGAACTGAGTAAGTGTCATTGTTGTCCATGGACCAGCATGATCTATGTGTTTCTTTTGACAGTGTTGTAAACGTATGTTTACATTACTAATTATTTACATTTATTATTACTAAGCGTTTAACGCATTCATGGCGGGAAACATGAATTTTTGATCGTTGATAATATTTCATAAGTTTCAATTTTTAGGTGTCGCCTGAAAAAACTTTTTTATTTGACTACAGCTCATGAGCTTTGCAATGCTGCATGGATATCTGGATACTCAAGTAAACAGCAAGTGCCCTTTTTGCAGTGTAAGGTAAATGTTAAGCTTCCGATTTGATATTATCCGTATATCAGCACTACAGGGTGCGTGACGAATTTTTGCAGTAAATGGCATATTTGAGAAAAAATACACCAGTTAGTTATTCTAGCAATGAATTTTGTGCGATTTATTTTCTTTCGCAACATATGGAAGTTGTAAGTAAATTTATTCAAAAAAATTGCCTTCCCTTTCGACGACTGTAGTTAGACGCTTCCGGAAACTGCAGTATGCACATTTTAAAATGTTTCGGTCCATAGATGTCATCACTGCCTTGATTTTAGCTTTTAGCGACTTAAGTGTGGTGTGAGGGGTTCTATTGGTATCCCGTTGGACGATGCCCTATACAAAATAATCCAACGGATTGATATCGGGACTGCTTGGGGGGCAAATTTCTTCCTCCCAAATTTACGAAATATTTTCCGTAAGCCATTTCTGTGCTTTATTAGCAGTATGAGCAGGTGCTCCGTCTTATCACTTTCCCAAGCCTTTTTTAATATTATACACTGTTCTTTCAGACACATTTACCGACCGAATTATTTTTTTCGCAACAAAGCGACAACGGTTGACAGATTGTTCTCTTGTTTCGACATCTTTACGTTTACTCAACATTGTTTGTTTAAATCTTACACCTAATAGTATAAGCTATCCAGTGCTGCCAAATATATCTAAATCATGATGCACAAGCATGAGAAATTACTATTTGAAATTTACTGCAAAAATTCGTCACGCACCATGTATATTGCAAAAACGGCAATCAATTACTTGGGTATTCAGATATCCATGCTAAGGTCATTAGATGCAGTCGTGCTAGAAACATTAGGTTATACAGGCAAATGTGAAATCGAATCGAACACCTCCTATTTTATTAAATTAGTTTTGTTTATTGCTTTGTTTTATATGATTACAGACTATGTAAAAATATTTCGCTGAATATCCGCAAGACAACGTATAGTGCACCAAACCGAAGAGCGCTAGTCGGCATGCTTGGCATATACAGTTTTGCTCGCGAACTGCTCATTTGCTAATAACTTTGCACAGAGTTGACGAAACATAGTTCTGTTTGAAGCAGTCAATAGAATAGTGTTTGAGCTTTTTTTTTATACGTAAAAAAATGATAGTTTAATTCTAGTATAAAACAGTATTTGATTTTGCATTGCAAAAATGAAGTGAGAAATGCTCGCCGCACATCTCGGACTTTAAGTGTAAAAATTCATTGGTGTTGATTCAAATGATTAGATTTACCTACTCTTTGCATGTCTACAGTATACTATGATCTTAATCTATCAATTACTTTAAAGAAAACTAAAATTTAAAATTTGAGTGAAAAGTTATTAACAAATGAGCAGTTGGTGTGTACAACTGTGCATGCCAAGCATGCTAGTCGGACTAGCGAGCGACTTCTAACGTCATTATACCATCGATATACATGATTGTAGCATAGAGGTAACTCTAAGACCATAAGGTCTCGAAGAAACGTGCTCAGCTCTGGTACTCTCTTCGGTCCCAAGCTAATCGATGCACCCCTCGAAACACAGGAAAATCCACGAGCCCCTCATTTTATCTGTCAAACTTTCATAGCGAATCAAAACAAACATAGTGTAGTACTAGAATTTTGACTATAATGGGGTACGTTAATCGATTTGCTTGGGACCAATAGGCTAGTCAAGTAGTGAGCCAATTTAAAATCGTTTCCACCGGTTGGTATCGCCAATTTCAAAAACGGAAAGAGTTAAGAACTAAATGATCAACATATTTGTTCTGTCCACTAACAGTGTATTGTCAAGCTTTCGTTCGTGCCTCTAGGCACAGAACCTTCTACTTTTTGTCATGTTCTCCGAACCATTACATTTACTAGAGTTGCAGAAACGTTAATTTTTACCAAGGCCATTGTAGTAGATATAAGTCATCGAAATTTATTGAAGTGCTTTGGTTATGAGATCCAAATATTGTATAGAATAGAGCGCTACTTCGTCGTAATCGCCCATTTCCGTTCTATCGATCAGAAAATAACAATAATATCAATGATTTCACCATGCACAAATCAATAATATGTTTGTTCCGATGCGTTAGCTCATTAGCTACAACATAAACCCGGTTAGAGCGCATTGTATGAATATTTCAAGAGCAAATTTTCATTACGTCGAAAGTAACAAAGGTAAACAAAGTCGAGCTATCAGTGTCAATCGATTCTCCTGCTATTACACTATATACTGCCTGAATATAGGATCACATCCCATTTTTAAATTTATTCGCCAGTCAAATTGCTTTTTGACGTAATCACCTTCCGATCAAAATAGTTTTCGATGTTACTTAAGTCACCTGATTTCTATGGAGATGCCGTTTGACTTAAGTAACAGCGCTGAGAAACCCGTGAAAAATGTACGTTCGTCGTTTCGCTTTCTCATTATTACAGTGAATAAATCGAACTGTTTGTTGCTAAGATCATTTCGGTGGTCCTAAAATGATGAATGGGCTGCACGTAAGGAGACGTAATTGATAATTCTCCCGAATATCCTGGTAAATACACTTTGACTTAAGTAACAATAGGGGCCACCAAACGACGTATAATAACTTTTGACCCAAAAACCAGTATGTTTTAGCATGAAAGCTAGCGATTTGCCTTTGTATGATTAAAACCCTGCTAAATATGTTAAACATTGCTATCACTATGAGATTATATGTGTTTAATTGGAAATAGGAATAACTTTTCGGTCATCAAAACAAAACTTTATTTTTCTCGGATTAGTGCGAATGTTACTTACGTCATATTGAAAATTTGCTCTTGATTTACGCTCATTGTTCTCAAACCAAAAGAAGCGCTCCCTGCGAATCCCCTTTTTATACGTTTATCCGTAGGACGAAGAAAATCTAATGGCGTTTCAATGCGTTAGGACGGAATTGAAACTCGTAGAACGAATTTAGAATCAAGAAGCAGTAGGGGAAATGACGGCTTCGGCATGCCAGACTATTTTCGGCAACCCAAATTGAAACATTATTTTCACTGGATTTTCTTACGAAAACACTTCGCTGAATGCATGCAAACGATTCTTTATGCTTTCAGTTTCAATTTGACTATATTTTTACCACTGAGAAAAAGCAATCTAGCAAGGTTTTTTTTAAATGAAACACACGCACTACAAATTGTAGCTGATTTCGAGTTGCCGATAATAGAACAGCAGATTTACATGCAGTTCAAATGGAACGGTTGCCGAAGAAAAACTGGTTGCCGACAATACTCGCTCTCACTAGAGAAGATTGAAGCTTTGTAAAAGCGTTTCAAAACAGTTTTTGACAATTCTTTCGACTGAAATTGTTAGAGCAACTGGCAGCAAAAGATTGTAAACAAACCAATACTGCATATGTGTGCGTTCCTTAGAGAAAAAGGCTATAGAAAGAAGGTTGCTGCTTAGGTTGCCGAGAATACGTAAATTCCCCTATTAGATTTTAAACAATATCTCAACAATGTGTGGCTTTTTATCAAATCCAACGGTACGTCTGGAAAGGTGAATTAATTTAGAAGTCATCTTTGATAGAAAAATTCCATTTTTAGTTTAAACTCGTTCAGGAAAGAGAGGTAAAGTGCGCGTTGTGCTTAGTAGGATGGAAATTAGATCAAAACTCTAGTGAAGATTGATCTAAAAAACATTGTGAATCCTTGAATTAAAAAATGAGTTCCAGGAAAAGCATTCCTGAAAACATTCCAAGGCTCAGATTTTATACAATCATGGAGAAATTATCTGATCATAAATATTCAAGGTGTCAGACTTTGAGAAAAAATATAAATAAACTGCATTTGAAAACATAATTGAAAGTTCTAAATAAATTTCAAAGAATATTTTAGGAGGGTTGAAAAAACAAATTCTAGATATATGGGGCGATTCCAGCGTAGTGGTAAACATCCATACCTCTCACGCCAAAATCACGAGTTCAAGTCTCATTCCTGGATGAGTCGCTAATGACCCCAAGCGCACATAACATATGTGGAACTTGAGACTTTTTTAGGATTTTAATTATTATACATGGACATTTATTTATTTATTTATTTATTTGTCGTCAATCAAATGTAAGTTACAAAAAATAAGAGTGGTCCAAAATATCGATTTAGCTCTACCAAGCTCAATCGATTTCAAATTAGGTCCTGCTAATTCTCCCAAAATTAAGTACATACTTCATGCTGCTGCGTATGAAAGCACTCCCCAACTAACAATTTTCACAATGTTAACGCTTTACTCATTTCATTTATACAGCCTCAAGCTGTGTTCAAACATTAAATGATATGAGGCAACCTTTACTCAACCTCAATAAAAGCAAATCTGGCGAACTTAGTCAGCTACTTATGACTGTTAGAATGGTTAGAACAAGCTCTTGTTGCATTTCCATTTACGCTTCTATGCAGCTGTTATCCTGCTGTTTTAGTTGTGTGCGAACTTGAAAGGCGCTTATTCAACCTTATCCCAGTTATCTAATAACCACTACACAGCTTTCTCTTAAAGCCGGGTTAAATATGATTAACGTTTTTTTTGTTGGAGGAATTGATTGAGTTTATTTTGCTGTGAGAATCCAACTAATCGAAATTTATTATAAGTACACCACCAAATTATTTACCCAGCACCGGAACCTGCAATCGAACTCGAGACGAACGTATTGGCAAACCTTGACACTACCAACTTCGCTACGCCAACACTTTGAACTGACGTAAACAAATAT